ATTATAAACAACTAGCTTAACTAGTTTTATTAACATGCTTAAATTAGTCAACTATCTCTTATATTGAGGACCGGATCATGCTTCCCATCTATAAGAGTCAAATAATAAAACTTCTTAATTAGAATTTAAGACTTCCTGTAAAAGTGGGGGAAAATTCCAATCTTTTGGCTTTTAAATAGTTTTTAATATATTAATTATTGACTTTTTTAATATTTGGAGTCAAACTTATTAATTTGAAATTAATCTACAGACCAAGTTTTCTCAGATTCATTCATGTCAACCTTGTTTGAATATAATCACAATAATTAAAAATAAATAAATATTACAGCTTGCAGTGTGCACATTATTTTCATGCTTTGAGCGGGATAATTTTCATATACATCAAGCCTTAAAATTCGTACGTGACTTCATCTGATTATGACTATGCAACAAGATTCTAATTCAATAAAAAAATAAAATAAAATCTAATTAGCGTTAAAAAACACCATATTTGTGTTGCTTTTCAGCGGGGCGCATGCGCACACACATAAGGAAGATACTAATTAAACAGGTTCTCTCACTAATGGGAAGAGTATCCCTTAGTAGTTGTTAAATGAGTAAGCTCATATAAATGACTCTGAATAATATAATAGAATAATTCAAAAAAATATATGTTTACAATCTGCCTTCGCATGAATAAAATGTGTGTGTGTGTTGGGGGGGGGGGAGTTAATGATGAAAAAACCAATATTTCAACTGCCAAAAATCTCAACTAACGACATGTTTATAGCTGGTTCAAATTGAATTAGTCGTCAATCTTTCAAAAAAATAATAAAGTATGCTAATTTATTTTTTAAAATAAATCCTTCACACACAAAAATTAATATTTTTCCAATCCTAATTATAAAAACCCATTTTGTAATGTAAATTATATTATAAATATGTCTTATATTTAGGATCAAAGATGTACAATAGAAGCTATTAATACCTCTGGTCCTAATTATAAGAGCTAGTTGACTAATTTGAGGAGATTAAGGAAATAAGTTAAATTAGTTATTTGTAATAAATAGATGTTGTCTTTCCCTAAAATATCCCTGCTAATCAAGTGTATTAGCTATAACTACTATTACTAGAATGACTACTTTAGAAAAAATATATAATATAAGAGACAAATGGATTGAGATCTTATAATTAGAACCAAATACAAATTAAATAGATTTTATATTAAAAATTGGAGATAGTAATAATTTCGGGGAGTCTAAAAATTGTTGGATAAATCCACCGCGCTGACTAATAAGCCATAGCCTCGTGGGTGAGTAATTGAATTCCCCCCCCCCCCCGGGTCAAGCAGCCGATGTTTGATACTTTGATGTATTAAGCGGACGTATACTTGAATGTGCTATTAAATATGAATTGATAGTAACAAATGCGATTTTAATATTCAGATCGACACAATTCAGTTTGAATATCTAGCGTGATTTACAGCTCGTTCCTAAATATATAACATTAATCTGCTGCCAGCCTCAATGAAATTGAATATAGTTCCACGAAAAAAAAAAAATGAAACCATGGAGTTGGGACCATTTTATTATTGCACGACGCAGTTTGGAATCTCTTCTGCAGAGTTGGGAGATGTGACCACCCCCATCCACGTAGGCTGGCTACATAATGGGCCCAACCTACAGGCCCAATTCATTTATTGCATCCTAATTGTTTTTTGGTGCAAGTAACTTCAACTATTCATTTACTCGTATATGAAGAGGACTAGCGTTAAAAAAACACAAAAAAGGTTTCGACCCATATTCCCCAGCTGGACATGACCATGGAGAACAGAAGAGGACTAGTTATTCAATTTATGCTATTTTATAAAAATTGAATATTCATAAATGCAACTATTCAAGATCGAGTCAGAATATAGGATTAGATTCCTCACCTTCACACGTCATTTAGCTTTAAATAGTTTGTGAGGCATTGATCTTATACTACTATTTCTGGATTCTAAACATTCATTTTCATTATTTTAACATGTATGTCAAACAAATTATATAATAAAATACAAATTAAGGACTGAAATCCAGATGAGGCTGACGTCAAAATAATAGTTAACGGCCAGCGTAAAGTTGTGACGAGGAAAGTTGTAATATTTAATGCCCCAAGTCGAACTGGGCTGCTCATGGGCAAAACAAAAAAAAAGTCGAACTGGGCTGCCAGGCTAAAATTAATTGACTGACTAATATTATTTTATAGTCAATGAGAAAACTGAAAACTGATTTTTATATCCACTGTTATCATCCCACGGAGGAACTTTCGCCCCCAATTTATTAGACTATTAATTTATTGTGTAATGTTATTTCTGATACATAATATGAGAGTCTGTTTACTAATTTGAGTAAGTTAAAAAATTAGTTAAGTTAGTTATTTGTAATAAATAAATATTGTTTTTTTCAAAATATCCTTACTAATTAAATGTATTGATTAGAATTATTATTATTACGATAACAGTCTTGAAAAAAAAGATAAATATGAGAAATCAAGTAGATTAGGATCTTATATTTAGGGCCAAAATAAAAATCAAACAAGCTTTTATATTAAGGACATCAGATAGTATTGCCGGTGCTTAATATAATAAGACCTAGTGAGCTAATTTAAGAAAATTAAAAAATTAGTTAAACTAGTTCTTTGTAATAAATAAATATTGTATTTTCTAAAATAACCTTACTAGTAATGTGTATTAATTAAAACTACAATTTGATAGAACTTTTAACATGTTCAACTATTAGGGGAATTACTTTTAAAAATAAATTAAAATTTATTTTATGATCAAATTAAAAATTAAACTATTTTTAATATTAAGGAGCAGAAATGGTACTGCTTGCATAACTTATTGTATTGTTAACTATTATTGTCTAAAATACCAAGTTTAAATAGTCAGGCAAAAAAATTTCTTAAATCATAGATATAAGGCCTCGCCATAATTTGTCTATTAAATTTATAATTGCTTTGCTAAAACGTTCCTATTAAATATTGATCGCACATGTTAGCATAATTTTCATTAAAATCAATATACGTTTCTTATAAACAACCAATTTAACTAATATTTTTTTTAATATTTATAATTGGTTTTTTTAATATCGATGAATTAGTTGTTTATTTATTATATGGCGAACGCCGGGCAGTTTTGACTCAGTGTCAACATAAATACTCACAGTTCATTTGATATTGAGGTTGTTTTTATTTGGGTTAATACAAACTTTGATCATTCAATTTTATTTTCATATTAGTTTTGGTTCTTTAAATTTCAAAATATAGGTTTTGGTCTATCAAATTTCTTTTTATTTAAAACATCAGTTTCTATATAAAAATTTGGACCATTTTGTCTCTAAAGGAATCAAAATCTATGGTATAAAATTTGAGAGACCAAAATCAAACTGAGATAAATTTAAGAAACCGAAAATTATATTAATTTTTATTTTTTATTTTTGAAGTCAAAATACTACTACATTTGTAGTGCAGCGCATGCAAAGGCTGACTCTTAAATGTCAGTGACGTCAATGGGATGAGTGGAAACGAGAGGATGATGAGAGTCTTTTAAATCCTCATGAGTAGAGAGACGACCGGGTAACTAATTTGACCCTGACCCATGTGCAGTGAATAAACAAAACAAAAGTGGATACCTTTTGGGCCTTGGGCCTCCCTGTTACCACAAAAAAAAAGTGGTTACATTAATTGGAAAAGGAGGAGTGCCTCCAATGGGAAGATATTTATATTCTAATTAAAAAAATTAAACATTGATAAAATCATTTTTAAAAAAAGTTATTATTGTCAGTTAATTTGTTTGTTTTTACCTCAAACACGCCCTCTCCCTCACCTGAGTACAAGCTACCCCCACCAAACTCATTTGTTATTGACCGCTTAAAAGACAAATTTAAGTTTTTTTTTTGGTATAAAAAAATTTAGGTTATTATTTTTGTTGAACTATAGGTATCCTTCTATTAAAGATAATCTTATTCAAGGCACTGTTGAGCACTAAACGTGAGCACTTTTCTCAGGGGGATTAGAACTTTAGTTCTCCACGTTATGAGGACCTAATCCATTCCGTTAGACTCAACTCCCGCCAGTAAAATTTAGGTTATTATCGACAGTTTCAAGTGCTAGTCAATATATTAGTGGGCCTATTCATGTCTATTCATGAGTAATTTCGGCCAGTATTGGGCCTCATGTCGGCCCAATCTTAAACCCGAGAGGATTATCTTGGCCCAAATATACGCTTGTTCGTGCTCTTTCTTCCCGCTCCCGCCGTTGTAAAATAGGAACATTTAACACGAATGAAATGGAATGAGAATACTGTGCATTATTGAAAAAATATTTTAAACAAACGTTGAATCTACTAAAAATTATCTTGGAATACTGAGTATTCCTGACAAATATTTTAAAATCTTAGATACTATTCTGGGGCAAAAAACTTCAACCCCCCTTATTTCACATCCAAGAACTGAATACGAACACTAGTATCAGATTATTCAAATTAGTTTAAAAGAAGAACAAGTGAATGACACACTAGCATAAAAAGAAGAAAAATGAGAGGCCCAGACTAACTCCCTCGAACGAAGTAGTTTTATTAAGTAACTACTTATCCAGTCCTTAATATAAGACTCATTTAATTAATTTGATTAGATTAAAAAAGTTAAGTAAGTTAGTTAATTATAAGAAATGTGATATATTTTTCTTAAAACACCATAATCGTCTTTTTTAATACCCTTCTCCCTCTTCTACTTGATTATGGTTAAGAGAGTATCTATAAAGATAATTTAAAAAAAAAATTAATAAATATAAAAAATAAATCTTATAATAATTAGTTCTATATTAGGCAGCGGGAAAATATTACTAATTAGATTCCAGCGATAGACTGAAGCCTCCCTGAGCCGAAAAGGAGTTTCGCAGCCGATATATGACCATCGCGGCCAAATGCGGTCCATGATTGAACCGGCCGAGTGCTTTCGCGCCAAAAAGTATTCTCGCCACCGCTAGGAGTTCAAAGCAATTTCCATTTCATAAGGGGCGTGGGGCTCAAGCTGAAGATGGCTTCAGCGTTGGGATGGTACGGTCCCCTTATAGATCTCTCGAGGGCATCTTCTCACATCGGCGATTTCGTTCAGCTTCTCCTCTTCGTTCATCACTCCACTCCGCTTCAGGTTTTCAACTTCTCTATATCATGTCTTCCCTAGTTGTGCAATGTCCAGGATTGGGATATGGCTTACGGTTCGTTCTCATTTGCAGTGTAAGTCTTCCAAAGGACGATACCGGATCAGGACAGACATTCAAGTCGGGGATGATACGAGGCCGTATTTTGTAGTGTCTGTTTGGCAGAAGAGTATGGAATCCATGATATCAGTGGGAGATGTTATACTATTACAAAGTAAGATTTATTATCCATCTGACCATCTGTGTTTCGAATTCAGGGATCCCATTGCGTTAATTTATTTTACAGTCTCACTTGAAAACCAAAGTGTGCTATTAATGATGGCTATTGATGCTTATCTCAAAAATACAATCTCATGTTCAATCACTTGGCAGTGCCACATAACTTAATTCTGCTGTGTTGATTTATAAAATTTTAAATACATCTTTGTTTCCATCCGTCTAGGTTGCCGAAGAAACCTTCTGACCATGTAAATCCAGATAAAAATTTCATTTCAGTGATGTATTCAGATAGAAGTAAGACGAAGCTTGTGCTCTTCATGGGAATCTCTCTGCTTATTCTATTCCGTTCTATTACTTTCTTTTTTTAAGCCATATTTGGTCCTTAACTGAAAATTTGAAAAGAAAAAAAAAACTATTATATAGATATAGATAGTCGATTTTTGTAATCAATCATAATTTTATTTTTGGCATATGGTAGATGTGAAGATAGTAAAATTTGGAGATATTGTTGAGGCCAGAACTGTTCAGTGGTCGTCACTACTTTGTTTGATCCACCCTTACGAGTTACTTATTTCAAAGGGTATGTTCTTGTTCTCTTGTCGGCTTCTTGTCAGCTTGGAATGACCTAGATGAATGACTGATAGAAAGTTAATTACTTAATGTATTGCTGCGTTTTATCCATTTGTGCTAGTCATTAGGTTTTGCTGCGGTTTGCAAGTGCTTGTGTATGACTTAATTTCATGCTTAATAGACTCAAGTTATGTAACTTGATTTGCCCTGTTCAATAGGATTATGCTCCTTCGTCTTAAATATAAAACCCATTTTGTGGTGTAATTTACACCACAAAATGAATATTATATTTAGCATCAGATGAGTAATAAGTTTGAGTTTGCAATACATTTTTATTTATTTAGAATTTTCTTAATGGAGAAAAAAACAAGAGGAATGCAATATAATGTTTTCCAGTGCAGATATAGAAGAATTGGTGGCAGGCTGTCGCGTTGGGATAAACAGCAAGGACAAACTTAGGAAGGTCATAAAGTGGGTGCAGCAGTCTAGACCTAACATATGCAGCACAAACTCTTATCAAGTATTGTCCTGATTACTTTTTAGTTTTACTTTTTCCTGTTTACTTAACTCTTCTTATGCTGATTATCCTGGTTACTTGTTAGGGAGTCCTGTATAGGCAATATTCATTTACTAACGCTACTTTTGTCAATGTGCTTCATTTCATGCTGCCTTGATTTTTTATGTTCTGAATAATAGTAATTATGATCTGCTCAGCAAACAGGGCATCTGCCCAAAAACTGGAAAGTGGTAGAAGAGCGAATTCCTACAGACTGTTTTTCACTTTCAGAACTATCTCAACTGACATCGTCTTGCAAAGCTATAGTCAGTGCATTTATTGGTGAAATTTTTCTACAAGCGAGCACAATGGATCTTGGTGATACTGAGAAAGAGAAGATTTTCCTTAGCAGGAGAGTTTATAAAACTGGGGATAATAACTTAGTGGAAGATCTCATATGCACTGGCTGTCAGCTTTGTGGTTCACCCATGGGGACAAAGTATGAATTCAGAACATAAAACCTTTAGTCCTGTTGCGGTGGCTACCAACATGATTATGATGATCCTTTACTTTTTTCAGATATGATCAGAATGTTATTCCACTGATTTGTTCGAAAAGCTCAAGTGGCCTTCATACAGTATGTTTGATATATAGGCCTTTCATGGTAACAATTTATTCATATTCCTTCTTGGTATAATTGTCACCACTGAGATAGCACTTAGGATTTGTTGCTAATAAAGAAGCTTCTTCTTGTCATTGAGGGTTTCACATGCCTGTACTCTATTATTTTAAAAACAAATCAAATAAAGTAATCTGTTAGCCAAACCAATTTTCTCCGTCTTGCAAGCTCTTAAAAATTCGGATACTCAACTATATTCTTATTTGCTTATCTCATATGTTTCGTAGTCACGAAACCAGTCAATGTTATATATCTGGTTGTAAATTTTTTTCGTTATTTTCCTCGTTAGTCATATAAGCTTATCTAGTACTAATAGGTGCGCTTTTCGGCAGCTATATTTGTGGGATGAATCAGACTACATGCCGATTCTCGTCAAGAACAGAGCTGCGGAAATCTTGTTTGGGAACAACAAGGCTGAAAAAGTATATTCAAGTTACAGACAGCAAAAGCTAAATAAAAGTCCTGAACTAAGCCGTGAAGATAAGGCTGAAGATTCTACTTCCAGATTCAAAAATAGCCTGAATGGTTCTGCGAAAGGACTGTTCAGTTCCTGTCCCTCAAGTGCCGATAATAGTTTGCAATTGGAGGGAAAGCAACGTCATGCTGCAGGCTTCAACTCTTATCAGATCTGGTTAATTTTTCTGAAGCTACTGCTGCAACAAGGAAAGAACAGTCCCCTGAAATTTGAGATTACCGTTGATTCCACTTTAGCTACAGAAAATGGGAAGTTCGAAATGGTTTCTGCATTGTTGCCCTGCTACAGAAGTATGTGATACCATCTATCAACTTTTGCTGATTCAAATTCCTACTTCTATTCAATTTGCAATTTCTTGAAAAGTTCGCTTAAAATGGCCCGCGAGGCAAAAATTTGTATATCAATTAAAATCTCCGTCTCCATATACGGCTTTATCAGCTTAAGAATATAACCTTGTAAAGGTTAAATATGAAGACGCCTTTATACTAAACTAATATAAATATGGGCATACGAGAGGATTACAGATCAATGGCCTCTCTTGTTCGTGATTATTGAGATTTTTAGTGAGGTCGGCCTCTCCTTCATGTTTGCCGTTAAAAAATCCCTACCTGTCAGAAAGAAAAATATAGAGATGTCCAGCGACTTATAAGCGGATGGGGACATGAATCAACTAACAAAGAAATCCTTTCTTTCTTATTCACCAGCACAAAAAATGTACTTGTTTGTTTGTTACAGCCATCTGCCAGCATAAGGTGACAATAGTAAATACAGGGGGTATCACGAATGGGATTCAGTTGGCGTGTCATTTGCAGCGGCTTGAGCTTCTTCAAGTAGCTTCATTTGGCGCTCTGCATGTTCCCTTTCGCATTGACTAACTCCCATAATGATATCCAGCATAGTGCCAGTCGTTCCAAAGAATACAAGCGGTGCCAGAGACTTGCGCTTTATTCCCACTGGTATTGCCAGCAATGCTCCTGCTACTGAGAACACCCAAGTGCCTAGTGCACTGCAATGCAAAGAATGCAAGTATCAGAATAGCCCAGCGGCAGAAGAATTTTGAACAGACACATCACCCCCGTGGTTGATTCCAAAGTTCTGTCATGGTTTTGGATTTTGTAACTTGCTGGTTCCTTTAACTCCCGGTTATTTATAGGCTCTCTTTCAATCTCTTTTGTCCAATTACAACTTTCGCAAGAGGTGTTTATAGATGAACATATATATATACTGAGTGATGACAGTTATTCAAAAGAGGCACCAACCTCACTCTAATTCATCACCAGTTCACCACATTTTGTAAATACTCATGGAAAAACTACATAATCTTAAGACAAAGAGCACGGAAAGAAGGTGAGAGTTAAGAAAATAAGAAGATGAAAGTGCTGTTGAAGAATGTCTCGAATCCTTCTTCAATGCTCACATGAGCACCTAAATAGTCCATCCAACAGTTTGAGGATGGTCGTAGTACTTAGGACATGCCATTCCGCAGTAGAGGATTACTGCTGACTACAAGCATTGTGTTTTGTGCTTGAAGCTATTATATTATATGGCCGGCATTTTATAAAGTGAAATTTCAAAATATGTAGGGATTTCACGAAATGAAGGATCCCTCGTCTGAGTGAAATAAAATTATTATATAATCGAAGCTCAGTAATGAGCCATGGCTAATCTTATGCAGTATCTAGCAACTGATTAATGAAAAGGTAGTGAACCAGTAATAGATGCATCTTGTCGGCTTAAGATTCCAAAAACACAAACCACACTTCAAACAAGCAATATATGACATTTTCAATCATCCAAGGAACAAAGAAAACAGCTGCTCATTAACAACCACGATTGAAGACTTCAAGGGAATGGATCATCTACCGGCATATACCATTAATAAAACTAGATTCACATCATAGCCTGTCATTAGACCAGTTTGACCTGTTCATCGAATAATCTACCCATTTTAAGACGCGAAATGAGGACCTATTCTCATATCTGAGCCCAGTATTTTCCCCGTCCCTGGTGCTACAGCAAGTTGTTATCCCTTTACCCCCGTAAGGAACTGGCCATTCTCAGCCGGTTAAATCTAATTCTGTGAACCATCACCTCTACAAAGGTAATCGATTAAGACGAGTATATCAAGTTAGAAATTTCGGAACCAGGGAGCAGAGATGATTGAATAGGTAGTTTGAAAAAAATCAAAATAACAAAAAAGAAGAAAGGATGAAGTTACTTGGCAACGGAGCAGTCTTCGAGATGCTTGACATTATCTTGGCCGGCCATGTTTCTTCCTCTCCCCTTTGCGATGACTCACTTTGCAGGTGGAGCCAAGATTGCTGAAAGCTAGGGCTAGCGGGAAGCAGGGAAGCAGCGGGTAATCGACAATCCTCTCTGTTTGGAAAAAAAAAGAAAAAAAAGAAGACGAAGTAAATTTCTTCAAAATTAGGATTCTTTTCTTATTTTTTTCTGTACAAAAATAAAAGAATAATTACAATGAGATCTAAAAAATAAAAATAATTATAAGTTATTGTGACTTTTTAATAATTATTTTTTTAAGATTTCATTATAATTCTCTCAAAATTAAATAATTTTTTTAATACAAGAAATAATTACCTACTCTCATTGTATTTATCTTTTGAAAAAAACTATTCTCATCAGGGAAGCATCCTTAATAAAGTTTTTTTTGTCTGTAAAAACATACTCGTCGGTCCTATTATAAGACCCAATTGACTTATTTGAGGAGATTAAGGAAGCAAGTTAAGTTGGTTATTTATAATAAATAAGTGTTGTTATTTCTAAAATATCTTGCTAATTAAGTATATTGGCTAAAACTATCATTATTAGAAGGATTATCTTGGAAAAAATGCATAAATATAAGAGAGAAATAGATTGGGTCTTAATTAGGACCAAATAAAAGTCAATGGGTCTATAATAAGGACCGGAAGAGTATTAAAAATAACTTATAAATAGAACTAAATAAGACTAGAGGAGTAGTAGACGTAAAGGGAGTAACCAGTAATAACGTACTAGTGCTAACTTTCACGTCAACAAAATAACGTGCTAAGTGCTACCTTAAAACACGACTTCAAAATTTATCTCATGATCAACAAAAATTAATTATCTTTACACTGAATTTTCGGGATGTCGTCATGTAGATTTATATCAGAGCTTTAATAATATTGCCTGTTAATGTCGTTTATATGGATACAGCGGTTTTTCCCGCCCACGCAACTGCACATATGATGAATGAGAATTTTTTTTGGGCGGACTGTCCCAGTTTTTACCCGAACATAAAATTATTGTTCTGCCTCATACCAATGCAATTCGTGCTATGCTTATGAACCACGTAAATATGTGAAATTTATAATAACTTGCATTGTTTACAAATATGTTTAATTTTATTTGTGTATGACCTCATATTATTCATTATGAATCTTCAATCTTGGATTGTAACGAAAAGATTATGTAATTATAATATCACATCATCAGAAAATAACAAACCTATAATAAATTACGCTTTTTAGGCTGAATTAAACTATGTCTTTTCTCACAATACCTCTTATTAAAGACATTATCAGATATTAAATATGAGTTTTTTTTAGTGGGAAGTGAAATCTTAATTCCGGATATTATAAGAGCCTAGACCAAAACTCATAAAGTTAAATTATGTTATCTTGGAATTATAAATATGTGAACCTGAAGCCCAGTGCGACATTCCCATGGGCCTGATCACTGGGGCACGTCAGGGGCAAGGACTAGAGAACGTTCAGGACCTGCACGAAGACCATGATCATAGGATTAATTAAAGGGCATGTTAGTACGGAGATTTTTTTTTGGCCAAAAGATGTTGGTACGGAGATTGGTACTGGGATTTTGAGGCTGCTTTTCAAAGAAGGTAACGCTTCAATTTCATTTTAAAGTTTGTTAAGATTTGTTATTAAAGTGGGTTTTATATTTAGGACCGGAAGAGTTTGATTATTTTTCATGAAGCATGAACAAATTATTTTCAGGAAGAAATTTATGATTTTTTTAAAAACAGTTAATTATCTTCGCCATCACATTAAAGATGAAATTTTAATTTTATGTCGGTGCTTAACACCGAGAGAAAAAAGAATATTGGCTGGTTCCCATGGTTTGGCATCCCAGATAAAAAAGAAAAAACATGAGAGAGATCGGGAGAGAAGCAGGCAAAAGGAATTTTGCTTCTAAAATTATAAATAATCATTTTAGGATTAAGTTAATTCGAATGATGAGGATCTGAATAAACGGGAAGCAGATACATCAAAGAAAATCAAAGACTGCAGGATCCCCGAGGCATTGAGAGATGTCGGTTGTTTCGTTAACAGTGCCCTCGTCATTAGTACTCCGACAATATTGCTATTTATGTTTACAGCATTAACTTGAGGAGGCACTTACATATGAATTTCCCCTCATAAAATTATAAATGTGATGCTTGTGTAAGAGCATGAATAATGGTGACAGTGACACATACCAAAAGAGGATTATATGGAAACAATTTTAACAGGGAGAACCACCAAGAGGTGCCAGGAAAAAAAACTTAATGACTAAAAAATTCCAATAATAAGTGACCGGCGTGAACTTGTTATTATTACCTGCTTTTAAACTTATCATTGCTTGCTTTTTACTTCTTAATAAACTTCAAGATAATTAAATTTCTTACTTGAGACTTGATTGTAATTCTCTCATCTCAGCAACACAATGCCTTATAGGATATAGGAAACTTGTTGAATGGTATAATTACATATGAAGTTGTTTCCCTCCGCAGTAAAGAAATGATAATACGGGCATCTAAACTAACCAGGTGTCAAGTTGTGATTGAGGCATGATTAAGCAATGGGGCCTACGTCACTTAATAATTAATTCACTAATTATCATTTGGTGGCAGCCGAAACATCATGCATGCATGTGGCTGAGTCATGAGCACTCGAATTTGGACTTGAATCAAAATTAATTAGGTTAATGCAAATAAAGGCTGATCGGTTTATATATATAGATTAAGATTAACGGGTGTGTGTGTGTGTGTCTGTATATATATAATGTTGGGAGTCAAGTCCTGCCACCTCGTAGGCAGTAATTAAGTAGCCTGTGAAACATATATGCCATCCTGCAAAGAGGTCAGCACTGCAAATCGCAGGTTACTACTTTAATCGAAGACAGCAGTGAGGGGATGGAATCTATTCTTGGCTGCATGCATCATATTTATATATTTTACGAGAGGACATGTCTTATATGTAGTCCCTCTGTTTACATTACCAACGTTTGTCTTTGACAGTGACGTGTTCAACATGCTAT